GCACCCCAAGCCGCCTCCCCAGCCCCGGGGCCCGGGTGCCGAGGGCCGGGCCCTCAGCTTCCCTGCCCGGTGAGGCGGGCCCTGGGGCCGGCTGAGACCCCCATGCGGGTCTCGCCATTCCAGGCGGTGAGGGGGGCCCTGCTGTGAAGCCCTGCGGGGCCACTCACCTGCTGCACTTGGGGGGCAGAGCGCCCTCCCGGCGGCCTGTGCCTTCGCCGCTCCAAGCGGCGCCCTGCAGTGTTGCTGCCCTTGGGCCAGCTCTGCCCAGCGCTGCGGCCTCGAGTTTGCTGAAGGATTATTTATTTTTGCCAAAGCAGATTGAATAAACGCACAGCTCAGCCCCTGCCTCCTCGGGTGTGACTCCACAGCCCAGGGGTCTCCTGGGCTCCCACCTCCTCGAGCCCCGCCCAGGGGCCGCCTCCACAGAGGCAGCCCCTGGCCCAGGGCACAACTCCCAGAGGGCAGGGAAGACGGAGCAAGATCCTCCCCAAATAAAAACAACCGTGTTTACAAAAGGTGGCACCGGCTGGCTCGCTCCATGGCGACAGCCGGCGTGGGCTGGTTTCAGCGCCACAGCTGTGGAGGGCGAGGTCTGGGGGTGTGGGCACTGCCCAGGTCTGCTCCTGTCCCTCCCGGCCGCCTGGCCAGCTGTCCGCACCTGCCTGTGCACCTCCCCACCCTGGGGCCCAGGACCCCGCTGGCCGGGGAAGAGGTCTGCCCTGTTCAAGGGGCAGATCTGGCAGGAAGGGGGCTGGGCCTGGGCTTGGGGGAGGTGCCCTCAGTCCTGGGCCGTCTGAGGGAATGCCACCCACCTTTGCTGGGGCCTGAGGGGCCCAAGGGGGCAGGGGTGCGTGGCTGCTCTTCAGAACCCATCCCGCCCTGGGCCAGTGCCACCTGCGCCCTCCCGGCGGGCGTGGCGCCGCAGCCCCCAGCCAACAATAACGGTAGGTAGGTAGTGGGGCCCAGGACCGGGAGAGCCGGCCGGGCAGGTCCCACTCTGCCAGGGGCCGCCCCACTGCTCCCAAGGTCCCGTCTGCAGGCCCAGCCCCAAGCTGCTGGGCCCCACAGGATCCCGCCTGACGCCCAGGGCACCCAGCCCGGCCTGCTCCTCCAGGTGGGTTCAGTGGAGGGGTCCAGGCTGGGCGCAGATGTTAGAGAATGGGACCCCGGGTGACCCACCGCGTTTCTTCTCCCAGCCCTGCCCAACAGCAGCCCCGGGCGGGCTGTGCCTGTGCCCAGGAGTGTCCCGGGCACCCTGCAGGCTTCTTTTTTACAATGGGGAAAACAAAGTCGGGCAGCACGTGGTGGGCCGACGCCAGGGCTCCCCTCCGGAGCGCCTGGCCCTGCCCGCGCTAGCTCCCTCGCGGGGCGCAGGGATCCGGCGCGCCGGGCATGGTGCACCCCGAGCCG